TTCCCCACCACTGCCCCTGGCGACACGGGTGTGTGACATTGAAGGTGCCCTCTTCCTGGTCCTTACGTGAAAAGCACAGAAAAGGCCTGATTCACATGAAAACACCTGTCTCTGTTAACCTCAAACACTCCACAAGGAAGCCTCACCATTTCCTTGGGACTTGTGTCTATCACAGCCTTCAAGGAGGCAGGCGACATCTCAAAGATGGGGAAAAATACTGCCCAGAATTTAAAGTGAAAACTACTTGAAAAGTCAACGGAGGGAATGGAAAAATGCTTCTGTAGCATTTTAAAATGCCTTACACTATTGAAAGAAATTATCTATTACTCTGAAGTGTGCACTTGATTGAGTGCACTTACAGAAGCATCTGGAGAATTTTAAAACATTTTTTTTTTTAAATAAAGGAAATAGAAGGTCAGCGGAATACTCTGGTACAGGAACACAACATTATGTTTTAGACAGAAACGCCAAAGAAATGTTCATATGTGGTACTAATAATGCCCTCTCCCAAGCTCTCAAAATTATCAGGCCAAAACAACAACTCTGCAAGCTGGGTAGGAGAAGAGTATTATTATCTTTCTTTAAGACCTAGCTGCCCGCCTTAGAGATAATTTTGCCTCTTTATACCAACAGAGACGCACTCCTCAAAAACAGGTTCAAAACTGGGTAAGAAGAAATGACCCAAGGATTAATTAGCTAAATAGGAGACTGAAGTGTAAACAAAAGAAAAATTATCATATCAAAATAAAAGACAGGAAACACAATTAAATTAGGCTTCAAAAGACCCGGGAGAAAGTTATAAAGGGCATATTATGCATTTACCTGGTTTTTATTCTTCCATGATTTAATTTCTGATTTTATTCACTACCATCTGATAATTGCATGAAACATTTATTCTAACCATGGGCAATTTAGATCATTTTAATTTTTATTTCAAGGCCATGAAACAAAGGAACCTATATATTGCCTAAGGGGATTTTTTAAAACAAAAATTAAAGCTTAATCTTTCATGTTTTAAATCATAGATGGTTTAAAATCATTTATAATGCTGTAGGGAGACTGTTTCATAATACGCAAAATTGAAATGATAAATTTACAATTATGAAAAGAATTAATAGTTGGGGGATTGAACTGTCCCTTTTCTTTCTAGACAGATTTGTCTGAAGCATAAGACATCTTAAAAAACAGGGTAGGTCCAAGCCCCGTGAAGGAGTGGTGCACGTAGGTTTGACTGGACTTTCTCAGGGAACAATAGGAAGCCCAGGTTCTTATTATTTAAAAAATAAGTAAGGGCACTGGCCTCGGGAATAGCTTCCTGTCCCTTTTATGTCCTAGGAAATTGCTCAGATGAAGCGGAGTCATGAATTCTCCTAACCACGTTTCCTGTGACTTTGAAAAAGTCCCTGATGAAAATCTGACAAACAACTTACTTTCACTTAAACGCCAGATTTTTTAGTCACACTTAAGAAAAATAATTGAAATGTAGATTTAAATCGTTCCTGTGGCTACAGTTCAGGGTACTAATGAAATACTTTCAGCTATTATGCAAAGCATCCCTCAGCAGAGAAGAGGAAATTCACTTTCAATGACACCCCGGTTAGCAGAATTTACCAGAATCTGCGGAGGGCAGATGTCAGGTTCAGAACAAGGGAAGGACACTTTGCTAGTGGCGACTTCTAAGAAGAGCAGGAAGGAAGGAAATACATCTCAGGACACACTTTCCCTTCCATTAAGGTTTCAGGAATAAACTGAAAATGGTCAAATATGTTTGAAGGTCCTTAAATCCCTTGGCTATCTTCCTAGGCTGTCCGACTACCCCGCATTTTAAGAACGTTAGGACGTATTCGTGCTCCTGACCATACTGGAGGGAACGGATGTGGATCCACGGGCTCCCGTGTCACCTCTCACCCGTCACCCCGCCCCCCCTATGCTCGGCGCCATGGCTTCCTTGCGAGTTTGCAATCCGCCAAGCTCCCGCCTGCCTCACAGCCTCGCCACGGGCTCTGTCCTCTGCCTGGAAGCCCTGTCCCTAAATATCTACGTGACTTCCTTCCCTTGCTCCAGGTTCCTGCCCAGGTGTCACCTTTTCACAGAGGGACAGGACGGCCTTCGTCAACCCGCTTCGCGCTCTCCTCACAGCACGTGTCTCTCACGGACGAGGCGCACGCTCGTCCCAGGTCCCCCCACGGACCGGAGGGCTCCTGAGAGCAGGGAGCACGTCTCTTCTGCCCGCCGCTGTGTCCCCGGCCCCTCGGGCACCTAATGCTATACTGACACGTGAGAAGCATCATCTGTCAGTCACATGTTCATACTGATCAGCTCGCATCTGCTTTTGTACTTGGCTTCTTCAACTGACGAGTCTTTTAAAGGAGAAGGAAATGTTCAAATACTGATTCTGATTCCCCGGGCACGTTCTAGCCCAAATACCACCACCAAGAATATATTTTAATAAAGTCAGATGAACCCTCAGAAGCAAACAACAGGTCATATACCCTTAAGTGCCGGAACAATGGAATAATTTTAATGTAGTAACCACACTATTAAACATATCAAGGTTAAATTCTTTAAGGTCTGATGGTCCAAACTGGGCTATGTGGCTCTCTGCCATGTAAGGAAGACAGTTTTCATAAGAAAGAGTCCTTTTTCTATCTTGGTACCAATGATTTGGTCAGTTTCTACTGGTTATTTTCAATAAAAGGGAGAGAAGATAAAGGCCAAGGTTGGAAAAATTATAAAAATTTACTTTTGCCAAAATAAAGTTAATATTGCTTTCTCTTAAAAAAAGCTAATCCTCTTCATTTTTATATGAGCAAATAAAAAGGTCTTCAGATTTTGAGTCACTTTTAGTTTTTTTTTCGCTCCAAAACATAGTTAAAAATATCAGCTTCTGATGAAAGATTCAATAAAGCGTGTGTGTAGCACTGCAGTGTTTTAATGTAATCATTTCGCAGTCTTTCCAGGAGACAAAACTTCTCATTTGAGAAAATATTTTCCAATCTGATTTATAATTTAGAGAGATCAATTTTTAAATCTGTTTTAAGAAAAAAAATCACTATTATTTTTATAAGGGGCGATTTATGTCAAAAATGTTTATTTCTTAAAAAAGGTCGCTAAAGGATTTCTTTAAATAACAAAGGTATCTTTGTATTAGAGCTATAATTTAACCTGCTGGGGCTGAAACACGGCTAAGTCGCGTTTTCAGCGCCACTGTGTGTTGCACGGAGCAGCGGCACGTTTTTGAAGACGTTTTGGAGAATGAAGTGACCGGATCTACAGGCTGCAGCTCGGAGGTTCCGGCACATCCCGGACAAACCCCCAGCTTCTCCTGAGTGTCTCCCTCAGGGCCGTACTCAGGGAGATGTATCAGATCCAGTTTTACGCACCGGCCGGGGGCGGCTTCGCTGTCTGCCGTGTGCTGGAGCTCGCGTCCCCCACGTTCTCTGAGACAAAGCCCCGCACTGTCACAACAAGTTTTTTCGACACTTAGCTCATTTTCCGGGCATGGCCGATAGAGGGTCACGGGGTTTTCAGAGTTACAGAGCTCGGCCCGGAGCCTGTCCAGCCCAGCTCCAGGGCCCGGAGGGGCGGCGAGGTCAGCCGGCAAGGTCTCCGAGACTCCGAGAGGGAGAGAAGCCAGGAGGACGTTTCCTAACAAACAAGTCCTGGTATCCAGGCAACCACATGGCGTCTGGCTGGTGCGAAAAGCAAAATGGCATCTGCTTTCGACTAAGGCAACGACATTGCTGGGAGAAAGGACTTTGAGGGACGCAGCCTGGAACGTGACCAGGAACGGGCGGCGGACGCGGCCCCGCAGACACCACGCGGACTTCAAGAGCGAACGTGAGGGAGGAGCTGGGGCGACACGTACGTAACGCGGGAATGAGTAGAGATTTTGAGATTTAACAGAGGATTCTTAAACTACTTAAAAAACAAAAAAAGAAGAAGAAGAAGAAGAATAAAAGCACGAGCAGAGACGGAGGCGCTCAGGGTGGCGAAGGCTTCACGGGGCTGGACGGACGGCTCGTCTGAGACAAAGCGAACGTGTGGGAAGGCGGCGGGCTCTGCGCTGTCTCCGCTTTCTCCTCGGAGGAGACAACACACGCACGCTCGGCCTCTGGCCCCCGACAGAACACTAAGCCGGTGACCCCCCTGTGCACCCCGCTTCCCCGGGCCTCTTACCGGGGCTCGTGAGGGCTCCCAGGGCGCTGCTCGTGGTGGACAGAGGGTTTGCATTGGTGGTGGTGGCTGAGGTCTGGGCCGCGGCTGCAGCCGCCGCCAGCGTGGCCAGGTTCTGCAGCTGTAAAGCGTTCATGCCTGTGAGGGCGAGAGAAAGGCGCTGTTAGCCACGGGCCCTGTTCGCCGGGATCCCAGCAGGACAGGGTGGTGACGAGGGCGGCAGGCCCGGCGGTGGGACCCTCTGCCAGGCTGCCTCGGTGACGCGTGTGTCGCCT